TGTGTGTGTGTGTGTGTGTGTGTGTGTGTGTGTGTGTGTGTGTGTGTGTGTGTGTATATATGAATGCATTATTTATTCTCAGCATCAGGGAATGCAGAGGCATGGTACTGCATGGGCCGAGTCTCTGAGGTATCGGAAGCCACAGTTTGAGGGAATGGGAGGTCTCCGCCGCGTCACCCTGAACTCTAACACTTTGATCGGGGACCGGGGTGCCGCTGCTCTTGCGCATGAAGTGGCAGAGGACCTGTGGGTTAAAGGTCAGTTGGTGTGGGGGTTTGAAAGAAATGCAACGAGACAAAGAAAAGTTTGTTTGTTTTTGTCGCTGTTGTCCTCGTCGTAGGGATTTGTTTTCTCAGGGTTTCTGTGTCTGTTTTGTGATTGGTTGAACAGCTTTGGACCTGCAGAGGTGCGGTCTGTCCAACGAAGGAGCTCGTCGTCTGCTGGAAGCCTTGAAAACTAACACTGCTCTTTGCGTACTGGATATTCGCAGTAACCCTTTAATTGGTAAGAAGTTGCCTGAAGCTCAAAACATGATGCGTTATTGGTACGTTGTTTGTTCCACACAGCACTTTTGAAATTGTGGGTGTAATAAACATTGTAGCCTCTAGGCGCAGCTAGCACACTGTTTGATTTTTATTTACCTGCGTGTCCCTATTCCATTCTAATTCTAACCTAGTTTCCAAAGTACTGTTTTCATACTGGCAAAATTGCTATTATTGCTCCATAACTCTGTGATTACTTTAATACTGTAATTGTACAGACACGTATCTGAAAACCCAAAAATGTGAAAACAATTTTTTTTCCCCTTTACAGACAGGGTGCTAATCAAAACTCTACTAGAGAAAGTACTGATGAATGCTGACAGACAGTCATCCGAGGTGAGTGTCTTGAGGTGCTAATGCCATCATTCAGAGTCTAAATGAATGAGTGGTGTGTACTTGTGTGATTGCTTCATAGTTGTGTCTTCCTCATGTTGTGCTGCAGTACTGCTGGATCAAGCCTGCAGCCTCAGAGCCACAGAGAGCTTCTGGTCCAAAGAGGCGAGCACTACCCGGCACAGTCAGAGGAAAAACTACATTTAGGATAGGTATAAGTACACATTATTGTTTTGTTTCTCACAAAGCTATATTATAGACACCTGTCCGTGATTTCAAACAGACAGACAAAATATATTGAGTTTGTGATGGTGGCCACATAATCATCCCAGAGAAATATATCTTGTCTTTTTATCAACATTAGGAAAGGTTTTACCTCAGCTCCTCACCAGGCTCATAAAGTATCTAATCTTGTGGCTGTAAGTGTCTATAAAGGTTCATTTTCCCACGCTGACCTAAACTGTCTAAGTTGCTAACTTTAAAGGATTTCCGATTTTCCATTTAGACAAAGTTGAAATGCACATCCGCATGTCTCCAGCCTGTGCACAAGTGAACACAACCTTCAGCGTTAGATCTGTTTGAGATAGTGTCTATTATCTCGTACTCAAATTGTCTCTTTCTGACTCCTCACCTCTTGGCTTTTAAGTCATCTGGAGACATGGTAAGAACTCTGCTGGCCAGCAATGTTAGATACTTTTGGTTCAGATACCCTGTAGTAAAATATCAAAAGATGAAGAGAGCCATGCTGTCTCATAACTTAACACATACCTCTCTCTCTCTCTCTCTCTCTCTCTCTCTCTCTCTCTCTCTGGTGCAGCCGCTCGTAAAGGAACATCTCCTGCAGGACGGAGTTCAGGCGATGCTCAGACACAGAAGCCCGCTTCCCCCTCCGGTTATGTGCCTTGGCGTGCTGCTGCACGAGCTGGACGCCAGAGGTGAGGAGCTGCTGGCGAACCAATGTATTCCGTGTATTAATGCAACACATCGTATTTATTATTTCTGAAACAGTTTTTGGCTGCATTTAAGAAACACGTGTCCACAAGCATCCAGAATAGAACATACTATGAATTTGATGTCACACGATTACTCCTCCTTTATTGACAAAGCTTTCGCCAGGTGTCTCTCAGTGAATCAAAGACTGATATTACGTTGATGGATGCCTTTGTTGCAGAGGTATGCCTCCTGGAGTTTGTGTGACGGATCAAAGCTTTCAGGTGAGTTCTCTTGTGTTTACGGACAGTGTGTTACTGTAGAAATGAATGAAAGCGTTGTAGAAATGTATCAGTAGCCTGTCAAGTATAGCCAAACTGTATTTCCACCACCTGTTGAAAATGCATGGTTCCCATCAGGGTGCAGCTACCGTGAAGGTTACTGTGGAGTCTGATTCGGAGGGTGAGGAAGACGAAGAAGAAGTGGAGGTGGAGCAGGGACCACCTTCTCTTGGCCTCGAGGACAGGATCACCGGGCGGAAGTTTAATCATATGCAGGTGAGTCACATCGTCATCATTTTGAGGTTTGTGTACAGGAAAAAGGCAACGCTTTGGGACTTTGAAGAACTTGGTGCATGCCGTGTAATTGTGTGTGTGTGTGTGTGTGTGTGTGTGTGTGTTCGCCCTGCAGATGGAGCTAAAGGAGTGTCGTCTGAGGCTGGCAGAGGAGCGCAGAGCCAGACTGAAAGCTGAGTCGAGGCTCATGGAGGTGATGATCACTAACATATGATTTATTTTTCTTCTGTTTTCCTTCCCTGCTATTTGTCTTTGCAGCAGTCACCAGTTTATTGTTCTAGCTTTAGTTAGAATAGCTTGAGGGTGGGTCAGCCACACTGAAGCGGCTTTTTGGATGATTATGTTAGTTTTAGCTCTCAGTGCTGCATTGTGTTCACGTCAGTGGTTTTGTAAATGAAGAAACGAGAGACTGGCTTCAAGACGCTCTTTTATTCTGTCTGTTGGTCGTTTCTATTCAGTGTGAGTTGGACAACGCCCGTCTTCGTGACAACAACCTCTCCCTGTCGGAGGCGCTTGCAGCCAGCGGCTCTGCATCAGCAGCGCCCGCTCTCAGCGCTCTTGAAGATGAAGCGGTCCTCGAGAGCATTGAGAGCTCGTTTACCAAGTTCCACGCTTTCCTGGATCTCCTCAAGGACGCTGGGTGGGTTTTCTTAAAACAGGCCAGAACAACATTTCTCCTTTTGACTCGGACTGTGTAGATTTGGTTCTGGGTTGAGGTGGATCAAAGGAGTGTCTTTGTTTGACTACACAACTTCCAGTTTCATTATGCATCTCTGCTCATTCGTTTTTCCATCCTCCCGTCTGCTCTTCCCACCAGGTGTTACTCACCCTGGGCCGACAGAATCCCCAACAGAAAGTTGTTTGGATTCAATTAAACTATTCATGTTTATCTCATCACACCTTCCTTTATCTAAGTTAGTTTTCAGTGTATTCATTGTAGGACGACCATAACAACTGTAATCATCCATTCATCTATTTATGATTTTTTTTTTTTTAGTTAGGTGTGATGCCTTAAGAAAGCTCATTATTAAAACTGCTGAGGGGACATAACTTCCAATTATATCATTCTTTTTTTTTTACATTAAAGAAGAAGCAAATGCTTCTCTTTTTACAAAGATTGTATAGTTCATGAAAAGGACAGCCTGTCATGTGACTGAGTGTAAATGGCAATAGGCTGGGCTACTTTTTGTACATTGCCTCTTTACTGTAAATGGAGGATTTCTGCTTCGTTCTGAGATAACCTTTAAAAACATTGGTCTGTTTGTTCTGGTCCGGTTGGCTCCCTCCAGTTAGAAACCTGGCACTGAGTCCAGCTCAGAGTTTCATTGTGACACAACCACCGCTTTCATTTGCTTTATTTCAGCCTGTTCTCTATTTCGTCATTCTTGCGCCATTAAAGGATGCTGAGTTGTTTTGAAACCGAGACCATGAGGTGCAGTAAATAGGTGGGGAGCAGTCGCTCCTTCTTTTTATTCAGTGAACATAATCAAACCAAGTATCCTTGCAGTCCTGCTCATTAGTCAGCAGCGCTTCATACTCATTTGTATTAGTAAACTATTGCTTTATAATCCTGCAATATTACAGTATAAACACACAATATGCGCAAAGAGGCTTGTAGCTATGGAAGCCATTCTTACCAGGGCATCTACTACCACTTACATCTTCAAGTACTTCATCCTAATGGATATGGCCTCCTCTTGGTATTTCATTTACATAGAAAAGGGGTAGCCTGTATGTACTTTTACCAATTCACCCTCTCAGATTATTTCAGCATACACTTCAGTAGTGCCTGAATGACATTTATGTGACCTTTACTTTGACTTAAATTAACGTCACCTCTTTCTTTCTTTCTTCTTTTGTAGCCTTGGTCAGCTCGCTTCAATGGCTGGAATCGACAAGTCAGATTTCCCCCCTCCAGGAAGACCTCAGCTCTCCTCCACAGTAGGACCGCATGTGGACGGCGCGGCGTCACTGCCTGGAGGGTTAGAGCATCGGGAGGCAAAGACTGACGCGCCATCTTCAATAAGGGTATGCAAAGGCGATGATTGGGAAATGTTTGAAAGTGCGACGTGATGGTGTTATACCTTCAGTTTCATGTTCGCACTGAGTTTGTTAACAACCCCCAAAAATCCATATGTTGCCAATGTTGCATTCTAACAGCACCACAAACTTGCCTCCTTGCCTGCAACACTGCTGAGCTGCATCAAGTTTAAAGAGTGTTTCAGTTTCATTATGCGTCTCTGGTCACTTTTCCCGTCATTTCTTTGTGTCGTGTTGACTTAACCCACCGGGTGACCTGTTACTCACCCCGAGTCAAAATAGAGTTTCGTTCTCACACAATTTCCATTCAACACTGTTTGGATTTCATTTTACTGTTAATGTTTTCACTTCTCATATGTTCCTTTAGCAAAGCTTTTTATAAAGATTGTATATTTGTCGATCCGTATCTGCGACATGTCGGCCACAGACAGATGAAACATCGCCTCATGCAGCTTGTTGATCAATCAACTTGTCATTTTATTAATTGATTTGATGGTGCAACAATAGTTATTTGTAATATTCATTCATAATATTCATTATAGAGAAAAAAACTGATATTGATTCATTATGAAATTAGATAAATTTGACATATTGTATAAACATCTCAAATTTGAAGATCTATATTTTTGATGCCGCCAAGTTCTCATTCATGTGGCTCCTTAAGGGAGCGTATCCCATAATGTCACTCATGCTACTCAGTGAACCGGGGTTACACAGATAACTAAGGTTTTGAGTATTGCCTGTATTATGGTGTCTTCTGGTGATTTGTAGTAGTTCCTAAAGAGGTTATTTTAATACTTTGTCTGTTATTCCATTTTTCTCATCAAACCTCCAACTTCTGTCTTCAGGTAGGCGGCGTCCTGCCTGCTCCCCCGGGTAGACCGGCCGACACCACCCCCCCCAGACCTCCGTCCTCTGTCAGGGAGTTTCTGCGTGAAGACAGGCTGCTAGATCTGACCTTCAGTCGGGCCTCCCGGCCTGCAGAAGACCCCGGTGTCGGTGGAGAAGAGGAACCCGACAAATACTCAAAGCTTGATAGCCAGCATGACTCAGGTTCTGAGCGCAGCTTCCGTAGCCAAAACTCCTTCGATATGGTTCCCTTCAGTAAGACTTTTCAGACTCGGTCCAGCCGCCCCAAGAGCAACCACAGCAACTCACACGGAAGCAACGGCTCCCACGGACACAGCTACAACAGCAGCTACGCTGCCGGCCATTCCTCCCACAGCAGCGGGTCTCACGGGGGATTTTCCGTAGGATCAAGTGTTAGTGACATCATGAGTGACATGGCGGAGTCTGTGGGGTCGAGGAACAGGGGAAAGCTAGTGACAGTCGGTCAGGCAGGGTCAGAGGGGGGCTTCTATCCTGGGAGCGAGACTGTGGAGCAGATCAGGTCTCTGGGGGGGCAGTCAGACGATGAGTCCTTCTGACCTACCGACCAGAGAAATGGGAAAAGCTCCGCCTCTCTTTGATCTCAGTGCCTTCTGTTTTTGAACTGTAGAATTATTCTGAAATCTTTGGAAGACGCAAGACCAGAAGTCGTAGCATGACAAGTGGATTGAACACCTTGTTGCATGGAAGCCAAAGCACAGACAGAGTTGAATATCCTACTAGAATGTTTAATTTTAGTTACAGATTGAGACAAAAATATATTTTTGAAGCAGTTGTGTATTTTTATAGTCTAGCAGATGCATTTTGCACTTGGATAAGTACAGAAAATGGTTTTAATTCATTAAGTGTGGTAGTAGATATTAGGGTTTTTAAGCTAACCCCACCACCAATCAAGTCTCAATTAAAATCTGCGAATCAAGTTCCCTCCAATGTGATCCTGTTTCATCAGACCTCAGAGGAAAATCATCCTTTGGTAGCTTTTTCATGCTTACTATTACTGTTTTTATGGCTGTTTGACACAATATTGTTTTAAGAGATTTTTCATATGTGTGTAATTTGTCCATTTTGACGTACATTTCAGTGGTTACTCTGCTGTTCATAATATTTTTAAATAAACATGTTACACAATGCACCTTGTCAGTGGGTGAAATTGTGCCAAAAAACCCTCTGGACCTGTGTCTGCTCGCTCTCTAGATGCAGCAAATGTTTTATTTTGCGTGTTTTCCATTACAAGTGAGCCTCAGACTTGACCAGTGGAAAAAAATAAAAGCTAAAAGGTACAGCTGTTTCATTTCCGATGTCTTCTCGGTGTTACTTCATCGTTTATACTTCTGGTGGTCGTGTGTTGTGGCGCTTTTTCCTTGGACACCAGTTTTGCAAATAATGTTCTGATATTTTAGAGACTCACAGAGAGATATTCAGTACAAAGATAGTTTTACAAGAACAAGCTGTCATTCGTCACATCTCTCCTTTGATTGGCTTTTGTTTGCGTTACAACTGCCAGTAACATTGTGCGCCCTCAGGTGTACATCAGCCGGAGCTGGACTGTGTTGTGCACGGACAATGTGTGACAGCCGGCTGTGATGTTTTGACGGCATGATTAAGTTTTAACTTCACAGTTAATGCAAAGCTGCTACAGCCAGCTATGTCACTGGTTTGGCCATGCAGACCCCTTGTGTACAGTACAATCATCATCATCTTGTTAAATGTAGGTGAGGCCCTTGTGTAACATGTCATAATGCGTGTTGATAATACATTAATTCAATAGAAAAAATTCAAAAAATAGCCCCTTATAAACAAAGAGTTGAATTCATACGTTGTTGCTTCTACAGTAATGCTTGGTCTGGTATGACCATTAGCTCATGGTGGCTAATGTTAGCAATCTTTAGACCGATATTGCCGTTTTTTGAGGACTTGTTATTGTAACACAAAGTTTTAGCACTTCCCAGTGATGTTAGTAATAAAAGGAACTAGGAAAGAGTCACAATGAAAGTGACCTTAACTTTGTCAAAGCAAGAGTTGTGACTTCTGTGTTTTTGGAAACACTGAGGAAGCTGAAGACTCCTTGAATACTGCTTTTAAACCCCGGGTGTGGTGCTCTTTATGTTCTACACTGGAATTTTTGGAGAGTAATGAATGACTCTGACTCTTATGAGTCAGTTTAGATCTGTCTGATGAGTGACCATTTTGGAAAAAGTGACCAAATGGAAACATTAGAAAAATAACAGCTGAAAATCTAAATGTCGAAGCATGTGAATAAACCACATGGTTCGTAGAATTAGGTAGCTGAAAGGCCCAGACGGTGCAGGCCCGGTTGGCGTTATCACTCCCATGTAATGAAAGAATGGGCCGTCATGCCACACTGCTGTTGACAGCATATGTGCTATCCGCTGTCTATGAGGCCGCCTCGATAAGTAAGTTATCGAAGCTCTTCCGCTTCTCTTGGTTTCCTAGAAGACTCTACAACACTGGCTTTATTGTTATCGTCGCAGCACGCAGTCCCAGGCTCTACTTTGCACTTTCGATCTCATACAAAGCGACGGGTTAGGAAACAGTGTGAGAAACTGCCGGACATGTTTTATGATCTCTACCATAACTGACAGCCGCGCCATGGATATGGAGACTATTGTAGGAGCGCTAACAAGACAAGTTCATTTATACCGCCCATTAGCACAAATTTGACTCAGGGGGCCTTTAAGACTCCCTCTGTCCTTTCAGACCCTCTCTTCAGAAAAGGAAAGTGTGTGTATGTAGGTGAGGAAAAGAGGGGGGGGGGGGGTAACTGACGCCACATGAAAACTGACACATCCAAATATTTCAGGAAGACACACAGTGGCTACTTCATGCCAAGCCTCCTCCTATCTGGACCAACAGGAGATATCATCCAAGGTTAACAAGGTCTACAATGAGAAAACTGACACGCGTTGTGGTTTGTTCAAACTCTGTAAGATCAACAGGTAGCTGGGAAAACGTAACACATAAATGTAAACTCGGCTTGAACTTGTACCCGTGGGTTACATGTGTCTGAGTCGGCGTCCGCTCAGCATGAGTTCCGGTGGCGCCAAACGATCGGTGCATTGAACTGCATGGGCATCGGTCAAACAGCAGCGGATAATTGAAAGGAAAAGGTCACTCGCACGTGAAAAATTGTATTTGCCCATTTCAGTTGAAACATGGACGACACATAAGATAAAGTGATAAACTTAGAAAAAAAGATAGAAAGTAAAAGAGGACAGGTGTGATTGGCTAAAAACAAATGCAATGGCTTTATTCAAGTGCAGCAGAAAAAGAATTGGTAAGTAAAGCATGGCAGCCACAATCATCATCATCATCACTAAAACACGTACATACATGCATAATCATTCACTTTAGTTTTCTAAAAATTCATCGGAAGGCCATAATCATTTTTACACTCATTTTCTCATCGCCCTGTGAAATAGGAAGATAAATAAGATAGCATTTTATTGATAAGGGGATCATTGATGGAGTTCTTGGACACATGGCAATCCACTGCTCTAATAAAACGGGTGAATCGCTGGGTAATCTAGGTGCTTACGTAACTCTGGCCCGCAGGCCATCCCATGGTTGACCTGCTATGGAGAAAAACCTGAGGACATTTATTTAACAACAGACACACATACACCGTGTGCTCTGAGCGAAGGCAAATAGTGTCGAAATGTGACTGATGACGTGTGTTTATTGCGTCACCAAACTGTCCATCTCTTTTGGAGGGGGGCCTGAGTGAACGAGAGGCTGGATGTTATCAGGAAGAGGCGACACAGATAAAGGGCAGTCAAGTCAAGGGTTGTGCAGAAGTTACATTTGTAATGCCACATTGGATGCGTGGATTGTCTATTTTGAGCTGGGCTGACTCAGTTTCACTGGCTTGTGGTCACTGTTGACTTTATTTGAGTAACTTCCCAGTCCACTTACAGCTACTTTTGCTAGATTATTCATAAAATCACTGACTACACCGTGCATTTCCCCCTTTTTTACACATATACAAACAGCAAAAAACAAATGCAATGGAAAATGCATTGGTTTATACGGTAGAAACCCTGAAATACAACACATTGGAATTGAATCATGTGCCTCTCACCTCATACAGTGTTACTCTCTTGTGTGGTCATAACAGTCTAGCTGGATAGGAAAAACTGGTACAGGGGACGAGGTAAAGTATTGGCTACTTATCACCGGAGCCGCTGGCAACCATAATGTGTAAATTGTGCGGGGAAATGGAGTTTTGCACGTACACACACACACACACACACACACAGTCACGGTTAACATACTTGGTTGCTTGCCAGTTGTGCACAGACATCATTCAGAATATCCTGTACTTTAATCAGCAATCTGTTTATTGGTCAAATTGATGACAATCAAAACTTCCCGGTATCAAAGTACAGAGGGCAATGCACTAGCATTGGCATGTTTGCCAGGCTGAAGCCAGACGGGGCTTATCTGTAGATACATTGCTGCACAATGACTGCAATGTACTTTTATGTGACTGTTAACGAACCATTAGGGGTTGCTAGCCAGCACTTCCTATATATATATATATATCATTTATATGTGCTAAAGCTAACAAATGTGCACGATAACACCCAGCAGCCTACACCAGAAGGCCCACATGAATGCATGCATTTTGCACAAACAAGCTCTAAGCATGTCATGTGCTCTTTGCACACGGTATGAGACACATAGAATTCATGACCAAAACAAATGAAGACAACACAACATGAGGTTCTGTGAAAGGGTAATGGTGATTATTGGTCTACAGTTATGGCCAGATTTATCCTTTAATGCATCGCGGAAATCATTTTGACAGTGTCATGAGAGGCGCCGTGCTGTGAAAGCTATACGCACTATATATATAAATACAGCTACAATTAGAATATGCCAAAATCCTGAGAAAAGGTTTGAGTTTCATCGAAACACGTCGTCCGCTAGTAACACAAAAAGGCTCCTACTGGTCAGAGTATGAATACATTTAGGAGTGACACAGAGGCGTGCCGAGTGGTTACTTAGACTAAGTGCATTATATGTCTCTCTCTCTCTCTCTCTCTCTCTCTCTCTCTCTCTCTCTCTCTCT